TTCAGAAACAAAAATTTATATATTTTACATCATTTGACCCACTGACACAAACTAATGTTAAACTACTCTAATAGACCTGACACACAAGACACCATCATTTATTTCTCATTTTAAAGCATTTTCTAATTCTTTATTGAGCCAAAATCATGATTTTTAAACAAATCATGTAAAATTAGAAAATGCTTTAAAATGAAAACTATGAGGGTGCCTCATCTGTCATGTCTAGTAGAGAAGTTTAACATAAGTTTTGTGTCAGTGGGTTACATGACATGAAAATTGTGCAAAAACCACTGAATGTCTGATTTCTTTGTTATGTAGCTTTGAAAATTTATAAAAGCTGATACATTAATTTTATAAAAAAATATTTTTATAAAAGTTATATGTTTTTTTACATATTTGTTAAAACTGTCACTATGTTGTGACAGTTTAGTATAGAACAGATAGTCTGCGAAAAGATTGAGCTCCAAGACTTGAGGTCTTGGTAAATGGTAAATGGACTGTACTTGTATATCACCTTTCTATGCTGGTGAAGATTCTCAGTCATCCAGGACATGATGAATTCAATGATCAATGATTCTGTTGGATCTCTGCCTCTCCACCACTTATTTCAAGTTCAATGACAGTTTTTACAGACAGAAGCACGGCTGTGCCATGGGATCTCCAGTGTCACCCATTGTTGCCAATCTCTACATGGAGGAAGTGGAACAGAGAGCCCTACACTCCTATGAGGGAACTAAGCCAAGCCATTGGTTCCGTTATGTGGATGACACCTGGGTCAAAATCCAAGCCAAGGAAATAGAAGCGTTCACCAGACACATTAACTCGGTCGATAACAACATCAAGTTCACCAGAGAGGATGCAAACGACAACAAGCTGCCTTTTTTGGACTGTTTGGTTCAGATGGAGAGAGAGGACAGCCTCAACATTGAAGTGTACAGGAAACCAACCCACACAGACCAGTATCTTCTGTTTGACTCCCACCATCCACTGGAACACAAACTCTCTGTCATCAGAACTTTACAACATCGGGCTGAATGCATCCCCACAAAGACAGAAGGGAAGGAAAAGGAACTGAAACACGTTCAAGAAGCTCTTCAAACATGTGGATATCCTTAACTGGGCTTTTGTCAAGTCAGCGAGGAAATCTACAAAACACACCAATAAACAGAAAAAGGAGAACAGCAGACATAAAAACATTGTCATCCCTTATGTTTCTGGAGTATCAGAGAAATTCAGAAGGATCTTCAACAAACACAAGATTCCAGTACATTTCAAACCCAGCAGGACTCTCAGACAGAGGCTGGTCCACCCTAAGGACAAGACACCCATACACAAACAGAGTGGTGTAGTGTATGCGGTCCAGTGCAGCGAGGACTGTCCAGACCTCTACATTGGAGAAACTAAACAGCCTCTTCACAGACGCATGACTCAACACAGGAGAGCCACCTCCTCTGGACAAATTTCCTCAGTTCACCTCCACCTCACAGATAAGGGACACTCTTTTGAGGACCAAAATGTGCACATTTTGGACCGAGAACACAGATGGTTTGAGAGGGGGGTGAAGGAAGCAATTTATGTAAAAAGAGAAAAGCCGTCTCTTAACAGAGGAGGAGGCCTCAGATTCCCACTTTCAAAAACATATAATGCAACTTTAAAACAGATCCCCAGCCGGTTTTCACACCTGATGGGAACAGAGGGGCCTCGACTGTGAATTAGAGGAACAAAGACCTACTGTTTAGGTTGTTTTTTTTTTTAGGTGTGAACTGCCAGTGTACATATGTGTGTCTTATGTGTGTGTGTGTCTTATCTCACTCAGCCTTATAACCTGTATCTCTCACTCTCTGCTCTTTGAATTGAGAAAGCTCCTCAGATGAGGAGCGAAACGTCTTCTGTTACAAATAAAGTCCAGTTGTTTTTGTATTGAACGCTTTTTGAAATCACCTTTCTATCTTATTTCAAGATACTCAAAGTTCTTTACACTACTCTCTGTGTCCTCATTTACCCATTCATACAGCACTGTACTAGATCTCTACAAAGCTAATTGAACAAATCATTCTAAAGAGACTAATCAATGCTTTATCACATTCATACACTGATGGGACACACATCAGAGGCTATGAGGGGTTCAGTGTCTTGCCCAGGGACACTTCGACATGTGACTGCTGGTGGATTCGAACCCCCAACTCTCGCATTGGAGGACGACTGCTCTAACCACTCAGCCACAGCCGCCCCGGTCTTGACTTGGTCTCGCCCTCCTTCGGTCTTGGTCTCGACTTGGTGTAGGACCCTAAAAAAAGTCTTGTCTCAGTACACTCTGGTCTTGGTCTTGACTTGGTCTCAGGTTAGGTGGTCTTGACTACAACACTGCTCCCGGTGTTTTTCTGCCATCATGCCCTGCCAGGCAGGAAGTTAGCATTAAAGCTAGTGTGTTAGCTGGTGATGTGTCGCTCCACATTGAAGCGTTTTGATGTCGTCTCACAAATGATAAACACACATTTGTCTTTTACAACTGCTAAAAAAAGTATTCCCCCCCAATTACTGTGAAAATAACGATTTAAGCTTTTATGCCATTTTCCCTCTGCTCAGGGAGGTAAAAATAGTTTCTAGCTGTGCCGCTTGGAGAGATCTCAGTGCATCTCTGCATTATTCAGAACTTTGACTCCAGACAAGGTTGCTAAGCTGTATACGTAAAACATTTTATTCTGAAAGTTTTCATTAATCTTAATTTCAAATCTACATCCATGCAAATGTTTTTACTTAAATTTAAAAACATATGGCCGAACAAGATGGTAGCGGAGGAGTAGAGATGTATTTAGCTTGGGCTCCTGTCAGTACTGCCTGAAAACTGCCTTTTGAGAAGATATTCTTACAACCTTTACGTTGGATGCTCTAATATTCAACGTTGTGTGATTGACTCTGCAAAACTGAAGATGGTGACAAACTTGAGGAAATATAAGTACTGGTATACAGGATCTGTGGCCCCTGGGCTGGAAACTGCCTCAGGCCACGGTGCTTCTAGGACCAGGGACTCATCTTCGCCCTCACCAGGTCCCAGATAGACGGACATGTCAGCCCTGAAGTCAGACATTCTGAGAGTGGAAGTGACTAACGGCACCATGGCATTCAAAGCCAAACTGGACCAGGTTAAACTGAGTTTTAAAGATGTTGAGGACAGGCTGCCCACTTGGTCAGATGAAGTTGCGGCTCTGCGCAGTACCATGACAAAACTGAAAGACGAGATAAATGGGCTGAAACAGAAATTTGAAGACATGGGGGGCGTAGGAGAAGGTCCAAAGTGCAGATCCTTGGCATTCCTGAGACGATGGAGTCGAGCTCCACCACTGCGGTCGTTAAACTGCTCACAGAAGTCTGTTGGAGTCAGCCTCCCCACCATCACAGACATCTACACCTCCTGCATCATGAAGGACTCCACTCACCCAGCACACACATTTTTTTGCCCTGCTCCTCTCAGGCAGGAGGTTAATGAGCATTAAGTGTAGAACCACTAGACTGAGGAACAGCTTCTACCCTGAAGCTGTAACACTCATAAATCCCCTAACCAGGATAATCACTGTGAAAGAAAAAAAAATCACCTAATGCCACTTTGATTATTATGTGCTGCTGATTAGCCATGCTGATGATCTCATGCTGCTGATTATCCATGCTGCTGTATTCATTCACTCATACTCATCCACCCACAAAGACTCATGTTCGTGCTGCTGCTGTTCGGTGTATTGTTTTGCGCTATCAGTGCCTATCCTATATCTTAGATCTATAGAACAAAGAAGATGACGACTATGTTTCGTTGTGAATACAATATGGGTTTTTGAAATTCGTCAAATATTACATTCTGGTTTTATTCACACATTATGTATCATAACATTTTTAAATCATGGTTGTAATTTTTGGAAAAATGTTTGTATAAATCTGCTGTTTTTTTTAATCTCTTCAGAAAACCAACTTAAAAATGTACATGAAGAGTTCTGCAGTCCCGCAGCATCATTCACCAACTGCACGACCACTACTGACACCCCCCCCCCACCCCCGACCACACCCAAATTCCCAAGCACCTCTTCCTGCAGCACAGATGGATACCAAAGGCTCAGAGAAGTGCCGACTAACTGATGGAGGTAAACCAAGGAAGCACCGCCTGTGCCTGAGGACCACTCACTGTCGCCCCTCCATGGTCATGGTACATTAAACCCAAAGCTACGTGAAGTAGCTGCTGTCAGCTGCTCGCCCTAAATGCCACGTGTGGAATCGCTCAGATCACCAGCTGCCTGAAAACACTGCCTCCCTCTGACACAAAGCTGGATGAATGTGGAAAACAGAGTTGTTGAAAATATGATTTTGACTTTGCTGTAAACTGTGATGCATTTCTTTCCATGAAATTTTATTTTTTTTTGTTTATTGTACTAAATTCCATTTCTTTTAGTAGGTGTGGGGGAAAACACTCAACATCCAAATAGTTTTTTGTGTGCAGTCTATTGTTTTATTGGTTTTAGTCAAATGGTTATTTAGAATGTTTTTAAGATTCAGTTTTGTTTCTGAACGTGTCGGTTTTTATCTAAATTTCATCATGGTCACAGGTTTGTTTTAAAATCCTAAAACTTTGCTGTAACGTTGACTTTTGTATCATTTTTTACACAAATGTGAGTAGACTTGAACTCTGATTTAACTCAGGTGTTAATATTTAAACAAACTTTTTCTGTTCTGTTGTGACACATATAATCTGTCCATTTCAGAACATCAGCCAAAAGAAACCAAAAAAAAAAAAAAATTCTTGAGGTTCTGTATTTTTAGTGACCCTACTGTAATCATCGAACACTGTAACGCACACCCAGCTGTCCACACTAAGGTCTTTGTTCACTATGGCAGAGCTCACAGTGCTGCATTTTTTGAGGGGGGGCTGATTTATTTGGTTGTTTTTATGCCATAAGTGATCGATGTAATGTAGGAATGTAATTGTAAGCTGATGTAGTGAGATGATTTTAATATATTTCCTGTAGAGTGGATGTGAACGTACTTGTGGACTTGTATCTGGGCTTGGCTGTGTTACACATTAAAACATTGTGGTACTGTCTCAGAATGCTGGGACGTTTAGCATCAACCTTGAATATATTTTTATAACAAACTGATTAGAAACGCTAATATTTTTGGAATTGTAAGTAATTTAACACTACAGTTTTCTTGCTGATGATTACACATTTTTCTTAAGAATTAACGTGTCTGGTTTCTTTTTTTGTATCAGTAGTTTGTGACATGACTCCTCTTTAATAGTGTGAAAACAGAATTAGAATGGGTTGTTTGTCCCGTCGTATACCTAAGAGGACGAATTGGAATTACTCTCCAACTGTCCGTGCATGTTGTGAGCATGCTCATGAAAAATAAATGAGGTACCAACTTCCATTTTGGTGTCGCTGCATCTAGGTGTAAGAAAGGTTACTATCAAAATCAGGTTTCCACGTCCAGTTCTAAATGGCACCTACCATATGTATCTGTAAACAGACCATATCATCATTGAGACATCATACATCATATTGTAAAAACAACTATGCATTATAACTTGTATTTTGCTTAAATGTATAGTTTCCTCAAATTATTGGCCATAGATCAATCTATGGTGGCCAAGGTCACCATGGCGCCTGGTGGAGGATAAAATTGCTCCCTCCACTCACCAGAATCTGTCACTCTCCTCTGCCTTTTGACAATTTTTTTTAAATACCTTCTCTACACAGTACAACTCCTACCTGTTGGAATAGCTTGCACCAAACACATTAAGGTTGACTTTCATTTCCTGTTCAATTCCAGTCCAGAAAACTCTATCAAAATGTACAAACTTGCGCTATTTATATCTCTCTGCGTTGGGAGGATATCTATGTACCTCTTGTCTTCTTTCGGCTTTTCCCACTTCAGGGTCTCCACAGTGAGTCCTCCTCCTCCATCTCCCTCTGTCCTCTGCATCCTCTGTCCTCATTCCAACTACCTCCCTGTCCTCTCTAACTGCATCCATGTATCTCCTCTTTGTCTTTTTCCAGACAGCTGCATTTCTAACATCTTTCTAATAATATACCACTGTCCCTCCTCTGGACATGTCCAAACCACTGTCCCTCCTCTGGGCATGTCCAAACCATATCAGTCTGGTCTTTAACTTTATCTCCCAGTTGTTCAACCTGTGCTGTACCTCTGATGATCTCATTCCTAATCTTCTCCATTCTTGTCACTCCTAAGGAGAACCTCAACATCTTTATTTCTGACACTTCCAGTTCTTTCTCCCGTCTTTTTGTCAAAATGGCTGTTTACATAGACATAAGTAATCAGATTAAACACCCCATTCAGGTTATTTTTTGTTGATTCAGCTCGATACGAATGAGAGGGGTGGTTTATGCAGATTTATAATCCGAACTGATCGTGGAAAACTGACCTGACTGCGCATGTGCGACTAATGTCTACCTCACGTATTAATGCCTGGCTAGATGCTCATATGTCGGGTAATCAAAACTGGTCAGTGAGCAACATTTCTACTAGGAACTTTGAATTACCTGTAGCTCAGACAGAGAGTGCAGCAAAGTTTCCACATTAAAACCTGTCATGGGTCCAGTTTAGGTGCTCAGGTTTGTTTACGTTCATCATGGAACTAGAACTTCTGTGTCTAAAAAAAGTTAAATCTGGTCCTCTGGACATTAAAGAAAATAAATGTAGAAAAGTTTTGTCTTTCATCCGAAAGACTTCGTCAGTCTGAGGTGCTGTATTCAGCTCAGTCTTATAAATAACACCGTCTCAGAGTGGATCAACCAGTTTTGCTGATGACAACCAAAATCAGCTGTTCAAATGATCAAGAAGGACCATCGGCCTAACGATGGGTCATTAGCACCCTGATGGCTGTTTACTATTCACAGAGGGCTGAGTGATATTCGCAATAACAGCATTGTAAGAGGGGGACAGTTGAACACGGAGGCCTCCACCCCGGTTTAATGATGGACGGTTTCTTTTCACAAATGGCATCCTTTACTCCTCTCTCAAACCATCGTTCCTCTCTCTCCAGGATGTGAACATCTTCATCCCTGATAGAGTGACCGCTGGCCTGGAGATGAGTGTAGACCGCAGAGTCCTGGCCTGATGTTGTTGCTCTTCTGTGCTGGGCCATCCTTTTGGCCAGTGGCTGTTTAGTTTCCCCGATGTAAGACTGATCACAGCCCTCCTGACACTGAACAGCATACACAATATTACTATGTCTGTACCGGGGGACTGGATCTTTGGGATGAACCAGTCCTTGTTGTAATGTATTTTGGGGTTTAAAAGCCACTGGGACGTTGTTTAGAAAATAAACATCTCAGTTTCTCTGATACTCCCTCAACACACGGATTGACCACTGGTCTGGGTTCCTCCTTTTCACCCGATTGCTGACTGGAGTCCCGTTTGGGTTTCTTCTCTGCGTTCAGGAAGGCCTAGTTAGGATATCCACATTGCTCTAGAGCCTGTCTTGTGTGGGATTTCTCCTTCTGCCTGGCTCCTGAGTTAAGCCCCCAGTATACTCCCGCGTACATCTGTTCACGCGTACATACGCGTGTACTGTACACAGAGGGTTCAGACTTGATACTCGAGTGTACACCCTGATCAGCTGCAGAGCAGCTTCACAGACAAGGGGCGTTTACCTTCAGGAAAAATTAAGGTCGCCGATTGGTCATTTGCTGACACGCCTACTGGATCGATTGACAGGTCGGGAAAAAAAAAGAGAGCTGGCAGCCTCAGCCGCAGAGGTGTTCTGTGTTTATATGTTAATAAAAAGATCCAAAAAAAAAACAAACGGGGAGCGCAGGTCCTGCAGCCCACACATCAGACCAGCCCACCAGGAAATCTCTAGACCCTCCCGCAGCCACGCTGGACCTTAGTTTAATTCGCTCGTGACAAATTCCTTCATTTCTCACCATTTCAGTCATGGCATCAACGGAGGAGGAAGAGATCACTTGCCTTTTGTCAAAAAAAAAAAAAAAAAAGAAAAGGCCAGATCGTGGATGAAGAGGAGAATTTAATACATTGGTGTCACATACAAAACAGTCCGTAGCTGGGCAGTTTATTGTGTGACACCGTGTACGCGTATGCGGTTGTAAAAATTGAGCTTTATATGGAAATAACCAGGGGGGTTCGTGCGTACCTCTGCGTATGGACGTACGTGGGATTATACTGGGGGCTTTAGTGGGGACGCTGTCTGCTCTATGGTACAGAGTCCTGATAACTCCTAACTTGTGCTCCAAAGGGTAATGGGAGTCAAACTGCAAATACCGGTCTGTGTGGGTGGGTTTGCGGTACACCTCACTTTGCAAATGTCCTCTATCAGAAACTGAGACCTCACAGTCCAAGAAAGCCAACTTGCCATTTTTTACATTTTCTCGTGTGAACTTGATGTATTTATCCACAGAGTTGATGTGGTCAGTAAAATGTTGGACTTCCTAAGATTTAATTTTAACCCAGGTGTCGTCAACATACCTGAACCAATGACTTGGTGGTGTCCCTGAAAAGTATGTCAAGGCTCTCTTTTCTACCTCCTCCATGTACAGGTCGGCAACAATAGGAGAAACTGGAGACTCCATAGCACACCCATGTGTCTGCCTATAATATTGCTCCCCATATGTGAAGTAGGTTGACTGCAGGCACAGTTTCAAGAGTTGACACAGTTGTTCTGTGAAAAGCATGGTCCTGCTGCTCAGAGAAGCTCATTTATAAGACTGAGCTGAATACAGCACCTCAGACTGAAGAAGTCTTTTGAATGAAAGACAAAACATTTATACAATTTTTTTTTTTTTTTTTTTTTTTTTGTGAATGTCCAGAGGACCAGATTTATCTTTTTTAGATTTTTCTACCTGGATTATTGAGCATGCATCAGGATATTTTTCAGGACATCCTTGTAAAAGAGATTGATGATCTCAATGGATTTCTTCCTGGTAAAATAAAGTAATAAAAAAATATATTTAAAAAATAAAAAAGTTGTTCTTCTGTGGTTTGAGAGTTTACCACTCTGCACATGTCAGTACTTCTATTCAGAATAAAAGCCCGCTGCATGTAAACGCTCGTCGTGAATGGATTGTGCCCATGTAAACGATGCATTTGGATTATTTAATCTGAAAACATTTCAATCCGGTCAAAGAATTTTGCACATGCAAACATAGTGTCTCTGTCTCCAGACCATACAACATAGCTGGTCTCACCACTGTCTTGTAAACTTTTCCTTTGACCTTTGCTGGCACCTTTTTGTACAAATCACTCCTGAAACTTTTCTCCATCCACTGCCTGAACTGCCTGAAGTCCAGTTCAGTCCTGCCTGGACTCTCTTCTTCACCTCTTTACCACACTCTACATTTTCCTGGACAGTGGCCCCCCAAGTCCTTGAAGTCCTGCACCTTGTAGCCTCACTGTTCCACCTCCTCCCTCTCCCTCACATACATGTACTGTGTCTTACTATGGCTGACTTTCATTCCTCTTCTTTCAAGTGCATACCACCACCTCTCAAATCTATTCCACCTGTTCCTTGTTCTTACCAGTTTACAACATCATCTGTAAATATCTTAGTCCACAGGGATTCTTGTCTGACCTCATCCTACTTCTGTTACTACCTTGCTTTGTGGCACAGTCACATGAGATATGGTTGGTTTTGATGTACCCATTTATTTATTTATTTTCTCTACAATGTACAATCTTCTGATAATTTTGTACAGACCAGTCATAAACAATACCAAGAGTCCTGCATGTCACTCTAATATACATTTTGGCAATAATTCATTGCTAAAACCCTCTGATGTGTGAGATTTGTTGAGTTCCAAAACTGTCGTAGTCCCTTGCTACTTCACGGTTCGTTTCTCGTGGACTTGCTCTATCACGGTTTTTCAGAGTAAAACTGGACGTGACACAATTGGCTGCTTGATGGATGAGCCGCACGATCGCATGGATTTTTTATTTGAAATAAATTATTTTGAATTATTTAGTACCTGCTGCAGATTTGTGCAGCCTACAGCTCCGGAGCCCCCTTTTCCAGCTGATCAGCTAATCTCCGCTCTACCCCAGAGATGTGGGGTGACAGAGAGCACTGGCAGACGTCAGAGAGCAGAAATCATGACATTCTGTGCTCATTTAAAGCGTTTAATTCAATTCAGAGTTTAGAATCATTGTTCAGACTGTCACGGAAGTCAGGGATGTCTGGGTTTTTGTTTCTGGACCTTTTGCCTATGTGACACAACTACAGATAAGTGGTGAGAGAAATGGGAGATCTCATATAACAAGCTGCTAAAACTGTCATTTCTAAGTATAAAATTATTTTAGTGTAAAACTCTTGAAAGGTTGTAGATGAAAATGCATTGCTTCAAAAAATGCTAGGCCTTTAATTTATTGCATGAGTTTATTTTTGACAGTAAACATGACCCCAGCAGCGCTAGGGTTAGGGTTAGATTTCAAGCTCCTCTACAGTTTGAATCTTCTTCATCTCAGTTTGGTACTTGAGCAAACATTCCTCACACAGGTCGTTTTCTCTGACCAGATGAAAAGTGTCTGTGGTCCTGACTGTTGTCTGTCTGTGTATTTGCTGGGTCATGACAGGGTTCCCATCCAGGTTGACCCTCTCCAGTTTGAGGAGTCTGCCAAGGCAGCTGGGAACACTTGTGAATCCGTTGTCAGAAAGACCAAGGAACCGAAGCTCCTTCAGGGCACCAATGGAGGCGGGCAGTGTTTTGAGCAGGTTGAGTCCCAGGTTCAGGCTGTGGAGGTTCTTCAGCAGGCCCAGCTCATCAGGGAGGCTTTCCAGACGGTTATTACACAGGTTTAAAACCTCCAGGGCCTGGAGACCCCCAATAGTGTGAGGAAGCTCCTCCAACTAATGGAGAACAAAAAACACATTATTTCAGAGACAGACTGGTTTTTGTTTAATTTGTGCAATTGCTGTTTCTCCACAAACAATTTTCCACATCATTAAGCTTGAATTTGAGTAGACATGTGACCCATTACCACTTGCTGCTAAAGCATCTCTCTGTTAGCGCAATATCTCATCCAGAGGACAGATGTTGATGAGACTTCGACAGTAATAATTAGATGAACATTTTCAATTGAGAAAAATTGAGACAATCCAAATCAAGATTGCATCACAACAAACATGACTATAATTAAGTCAGTTTAACAGATGTGCTAAAATATAGTCTTTGTAACTGAGTATTATATGAAAATCATTCTCTGAAAAGACAAAAGTCAAAGTTTCTTTGTCATTCGCACCAGATGTGGTACATGTGGTGGAACAAAATTGTGTACACAGGGTCCCTGTTACATCCAACAAAAGTATAAATTGTAAAGAGAAGCGGTAATAAGATCTAAGATATGAACTAAGAAATACGCTAAACTGAGACGACGCTAAGAAAACAAAAACATATTCAGAGTTACGCATTGTGCTAGATATTTGCTCAAAACTCAGGCATGATTCAATTCAATTCAGTTTATTTATATAGCACCAAATCACAACAAAGTTCTCAGGGCACTTTACAGGAACATTCACATACATAAAAGCCAATTAGTAAAGTTCTCTATCTAAGGAGGCCAGCAGACAAGTTGAATCTTGGTTTTGTTGCAGTCTCCCATCCTGAGCAAGCACAGTGGCAACAGTGGAAAGGAAAAACTCCCTTTTAACAGGAAGAAACCTCCAGCAGAACCAGGCTCAGAACAAGCGGCCATCTGCTTTGACCAGCTGGTTTAAGAGGACAGGAAGGAGAGACAGACAAACACAGAATGGTAGGTCCAGGTGTACCTGAAAGACAAAAACGCATGTTAAGGATAGAAAAAATAATTACAAATACAAAACAAGTTGAGCAGCGTAAGTAAAGACAGTAGCAGAGTGAAAAAGTGTGGTCAATTTGTCCTCCAGCAGTCAGCCTATAGCAGCATAACTAAGGGACAGCTCAGGAAACCCAAGCCGACCCTAACTAGAGAGCTGGTGCAAAGAGAATAACCTTCACATCAATGTGAAGAAGACAAAGGAGATGATTGTGGACTTCAGAAGGAACAAAAACATCTACACCCCCCTGAACATAAGAGGATCTGTGGTGGAAGTGGTCTCCAGCTACAAGTACTTGGGTGTACACATGAACAACAACCTCAGCTGGAGCAACAACACCACCAGCCTGATCAAGAAAGCTCATCAGAGACTCTACTTCCTCAGACGGCTGAGGCGAGCTGGTCTGGGAGCTCAGACCTCACCTCCTTCTACAGGTGTGCAGTAGAGAGCATCCTGTGCTCCAGCATCAATGTGTGGCATGGAGGCTGCCCAGCTGCAGAAAGAAAAGCTTTGCAGAGAGTGGTGAAGGCTGCACAGAAATCTGTCGGAATCAGCCTCCCCACCATCACAGACATCTACACCTCCAGATGCAGGAAGAGGGCCACCTGCATCATGAAGGACCCCACTCACCCAGCACACACACTTTTTGCCCCACTCCCCTCAGGAAGGAGGTTAAGGAGCATTAAGTGTAGAACCACTAGACTGAGGAACAGCTTCTACCCTGAGGCTGTTAGACTCATGAATCTCTAACTAGAATAATCACTGTGAAAAACCATATCATGTTGCTGCTGATCTGTTTCATGTTGCTGCTGATCTGTTTCAATGTTGATGTGTTCATGCGTGCACATCTGCTCACAGACTCATGTTCATGTTTGTGCTGATGTTCAATGTTTTATGTTATGAGTGCTTAGTGTATATTTAGTTGTTTTTCTTAGTTCATATCTTAGATGTTATTACTGTTTTTCTTATACATTTTATTGTTGGATGTAACTGGGACCCTGTGTACATAATTTCGCTCCACCACATGTACCACATGAGGTGCGAATGACAATAAAGAAACTCTGACTCTGACTATAGGAGTTAGTGGGAGAGATCATATCTCTCCAGTTTTAGCTTCTCTCCATTGGCTCCCTCTCAAATCCAGAATAGAATTCAAAATCTTACTTCTAACCTACAAAGCTCTCAACAACCTGGCTCCATCTTATATTACAGATCTTATTGTTCCATATTTTCCTAACGGAGATGTTTACTCTCAGGCTGAAGGTTTACTTGTGGTTCCTAGAATTTACAAAAACAGAATGGGAGGCAAATCCTTCAGTTATCAGGCTCCTCTCTTGTGGAACCAACTTCCAATCTCTGTCCGTGAGGCTGACACATTATCCAGTTTTAAAACTAGGCTTAAGACTTTCCTTTTTGCTAACTCCTATAGTTAAGACTATGGCAGCAGCATTTTGGATCAACTGAAGATGTTTTAAAGAAGTATTTGGACACCCAGATGGTAAACAATTGCAATAGTCAAGTCTAGACGTGACAAATGCATGGACCAGTTTTTCTGCATCATTTTTGGACAAGATGTTTCTAATTTTAGTGATATTTTGCAGGTAGAGGAAAACGGTTTTGGTAACATTTTTAATGTTGGGGTTAAAAGACATATCCTGATAAAACATAATAGCAAGGTTTTCAACTTTACAGCTGGAGGCCAGATTAATGCCATCCAGGGAAAATGAAAGACTGAAAAAATCATTCCTATGATGCTCTGGTCCAAAAACCAAAACCTCAGTCGTGTCTGAGTTTAAATACAAAAAATTAAGGGTCATCCAGGTTTTTATGTCTTTAAGACACAGGTGTCGCAACCATTATATGTGAAGGGGACAAGTCCCCCCGCATAAAAAAAAAACTTTCATTTGGATCCCCCCACTTTTACTATGAAACATTAGTTCAGGCGGCGCAGTTTCTATTTCTTCGTGACCAAATCTATTCCACTTGATCAAAAGGAGAATACTCAAACCACTAAACTCCACTCCAGGTTTTCCTGGTTACCTCCAACTCTCTGAGTCTCCTGCCTCAACAGAAAACGTGCACAGGTGGAGATGGAGACACTTCTGTGTTGCTCGCTCACCAGTTTAGCGAGCTCAGTGCGAGCAGTTGTTGACCAGGGGGTGTTGATCATACATGTATACATATTAGGAGGATGCTTGAGAGAAGTGCAGTGCTACGTCTGTAGCATCTTAGCAGTAACTGTGATGCTGTCAGATGCTGCAGGTGTAAGAGACGCTGTGTGTTCAGGTGCATTAAAGTTGAAATGTCTTTAAAACCCCACACCTTATTGTCCTCAAGCTTCGTGAGAAACATCATTTAGATGAGTAGTGTTGAACACAAGTAAAAAAGTCTAGTGGTGATGTTTTTTATTTCTCTATAAACACAAATAGTGCCGACCTGATGCTCTGTATTAAAGTGTATTAAAGTTCAAATGTTTTTAAAACCCACAGCTGAATTTACACAAACTTTGTGAGAAACATGCTTTAAATGTGGTACATCTAGGACATCTAGGTGAAATGATGCTTTTTTGTACACTCCTGGCTTAAGAGGAGAGGATGCCGGGCGGGAGTTATGGTGAGGCTACAAGCTAATGCTATACCATACCATACCATTTATTTATAGAGCACTTAAAACAGCGACAAGGCCAACCAAAGTGCTGTACAGACAGAACAACAGACAACACACAAAGCAATATACAAAATGAAGAAAATCAGAATATAGACATAAAAACAATGCAGATAATAAATACAAACCGGATTCCAAAAAAGTTGGGACACTAAACAAATTGTAACTAAAAACTGAATGTAATGATGTGGAGATCGCAAATGTCAATATTTTATTTGTAATATAACATAGATGACAGATCAAATGTTTAATCTGAGTAAATGTAACATTTTAAAGGAAAAATATGTTGATTCAAAATTTCACAGTGTCAAAAAATCCCAAAACAGTCGGGACAAGTAGCCATAAGTGGCTGGAAAAAGGAAATTGCGCATATGACGAACAGCTGGAAGACCAATTATCACTAATTAGGTCAATTGACAACATGATTGGGTATAAAAAGAGCTTCTCAGAGTGTCAGTGTCTCTCAGAAGCCAAGATGGTAAGAGGATCACCAATTCCACCATTGTTACGCAGAAAGATAGTACAGCAATACCAGAATGGTGTTACCCAGCGTAAAATAGCAAAGACTTTTAAGTTATCATCATCAACCGTGCATAACATCATCAAAAGATTCAGAGAATCTGGAACAATCGCTGTGCGTAAGGGTCAAGGCCGTAAAACTCTACTGGATGCTCGTGATCTCCGGGCCCTTAAACGTCACTGCATCTCACCTGCATCACTGATGGTATGGGGTTGCATGAGCGCTTGTGGCATGGGGAGCTTGCATGTCTGGAAAGGCACCATTAATGCAGAGAACTATGTTCAGGTTCTAGAACAACATATGCTCCCATCTAGACGTCATCTCTTTCAGGGAAGACCCTGCATTTTTCAACACAATGCCAGACCACATTCTGCAGCAATCGCAACATCATGGCTACGTAGGAGAAGGATCTGGGTACTGAAATGGCCAGCCTGCAGTCCAGATCTTTCACCTATAGAGAACATTTGGCGCATCATAAAGAGGAAGGTGCGACAACGAAGGCCCAAGACGATTGAACAGTTAGAGGCCTGTATTAGACATGAATGGGAGAGCATTCCTATTTCTAAACGTGAGAAACTGGTCTCCTCTGTCCCCAGACATCTGTTGAGTGTTGTAAGAAAAAGAGGGGATGCCACACAGTGGGAAAAATGGACTTGTCCCAACTTTTTTGGGATTTGTTGATGCCATGAAATTTGGAAACAACATAATTTTCCCTTAAAATGATACATTCTCTCAGTTTAAACTTTTGATCTGTGATTTGTGTTCTATTCTGAATAAAATATTAGATGTTGGCACCTCCACATCATTGCATTCAGTTTTTGTTCACAATTTGTTTAGTGTCCCAACTTTTTTGGAATCCGGTTTGTATGTA